CATTTTCAGCCAGGTAACTTTTTTGTTGTGGGGACTGTCCTATTCACTGTAGGCTATTTAGCAGCATCCCTGGCCTCTATCAGACACCAGTAACACCTATTTCTTCCCAGTTGAGAACTGCTGGTTTAAAGGCACATACCTGTAACGGCATACACTAATGTCACTTAGAAGATCCTGAAAGCAGAGAACCAGGGGGCCCCAGGAGCAAAGTGCATTCAAGTCAGATGGCTCCAGTCAAATGGCAGTGGCTGCCTGGAGTTCTGTGCTCAGAGCTCTGGGCTCAACTGTAAAGAGTGCCACAACTGATTGGTGATGTCTGCTGTGTGTGAGGGAAAGGGCAGGGTAGCAGCACTTTTGCCTCCTCTGTAGAGCTCCACAATTGATTGGTGATGTCTATGTATAAGGGAAGGGGCGGGGTAGCAGCACTGTTGCCTCCTCCGTAGAGCTCCATGACTGACTAGTGATGTCTGCTGTGTGTAAGGGAAGGGGCAGGGTAGCAGCACTGTTGCCCCTTTTGTAGAGCTCCACAATTGACTGGTGATGTCTGCCAGTGTATAAGGGAAGGGGCGGGGTAGCAGCACTGTTGCCTCCTCTGTAGAGCTCCACAATTGACTGGTAATGTCTGCTGTGTGTAAGGGGAGCTGCAGAATAGCAGGACTTTTGCTTCCCTGTACTTCCGGGGTTCTCTGCATCCCAGTCACCCAGGGGGCTTTTAAAAATACACCCCTGCCTGGGCCCCACCCTCAGATTCAGAGTTCACAAGTCTGAGTCCAGATATCTCATCTACACGTTTTAAATGCTCCACACATGATTCTGAAGAAAACTCCAAGTGGTGGGCTTTTTGTCAATGATCTGCTACAAAATACTTCAGGCTTTTGGGCCAAAAGTCCTTATGTTCATTTCTGAGCCACACCCGTCTCTCATTCCCTCCCATCCACACTGCAGTAGGTAAATCCTCAGACACCTCCACATCAGGAGAGGAGGCGGCGGGGCTGTACGGCTTATATATCTCATCTGAGGTGTTGGACACACACATCTGGGAACTGTGGCCGAGTTTTATTATCTCCTCAGATTCTGTACAATGTACTCAGCGTGACAAGTCTTTAGAGGCCACGAAAGTCACAGGAC